TGTGGATTTACAAGTCACCTTCGCATCATTTGTTAATTTGTTCTAAATGTTGCCTAAAGAAATGTATCATAAAGCTAATAACATTCAGCATCTTATACCATTTTTAACATTTGATAATTGTCTAGAAGTGACTCTCGACGTACATTTTCAGAATGACCTGGGGTTGGATAATATAGAAATTGTGAGGATCTAAAAGAGGAGTTGAAGGATAAAATTCAAGACAAGGAAGCTGATAAGATGGATTCCTGTTCTCTTGTTATTGAATGAATACACACACAACCATCCAATGGCCGGCTGAAATTTGAGGTGAAATTTTTTTACTTAATCTTGAATTTCATGACGACTGGTGGACTTGGATTCAGTTTATCTGTTGGGTGTTTGTATGCATTTACCTTGGATCTTGGGATAATAAAAAACTAAACCTAAATCTGTATGGAATGAAAATTTTGAGACTATGATAGCTTTTAAGCAGTTTGAATGTCAGAAGTTGGATGAACTGTTCCGTTCTGGTGAGATAAACTTTGTGATTTCTCCACTGCAAAACAAAAGAAGAAGAAAAAAACAAAATGGTCTGTACTTGATTAATTATCTTTTATCAATTACGAAAAGCAACATCAGAGAAAAAGATAATTATTAACAGCCTTGATCCATAAAATAATACCCTGAAAAAGAAAATCATTGTTTAACCAAATTCATAATAGAAAGAGATATGGCAGCCAGCTGAAACGCATCGTTGTTTCTACCGGTGAGCGGCGAGACGACACCTGGTTTTTCTTTGAAACCATCTTCGCAAGTCGTCGAGGCGTCCATCACCGAGCTCAATTTAATATTCGCATCGTCGTAGCGTCCGTTGCTGTAATATTCGGCGGCCTCTTTCAGAGTAGGGATTGCATCGGAATAAAGTTCGAGACAATCTCGCAGACCTGCCTTCAGGGAAGGATCCGACGACTTCTTCAATAGCCCGTTGACATAAGACGCCGTACTCGTCACGTTCTGCTGATATAATTTAATGGCGATTCCGCCGAGTTGCTGGAGATTTTTGGCGCCGTGGCTACTTGAGTCCGATTCCAGAGATGTAACGCAGAATTCGTATTTGATGTTTGGATTCGTCGATGAGGATTTCCTACAGGTCTCCTCGACCAGGGAGCCGGTTGTGGCGTCAAACAAGAAGAAGAAGAAGAAGAGCAACGGAGTCATGATCAGACTGCTTTTCATGCTTTTCTTTCAGAATATATATATATATATATATATATATATATATATATATGTATATACGTGGTAGCTCTTTTCTTCTGAAAATGCTTGTGCTGTTCTTCTCAAAATGTGTGTGTATATATACATGATGGAGATCGAAAATCGAGGTGGTTGTGGACGGGATTAATAAAACAACGAGAACCCAGAAAGGAAATTAAAATGGTGTGTGAAAATATATAGGCATATATGGGTAGATACAGGGGGGGTATATCTATATATGCATGCATACACAGATTTTCTCTTTCATTTTTGGATAAATTTATTATATTTATTATAAGAATCAAGAAAAAAATCAGGTGGATATTTTTCTTTTAAAAAAAAAAAGGATTGGATAAAGAGAATTAGGGGGAGCTCCACATATATGTACATATACATGTGTATATATACATATGTATATATAAATAACAAAATAGAGTAAATTTATAATTTATTAAATATTTTCCTTGTTGGGAGATAAGAAAAATGACATAACAAAAAAGAAAAAGGAAGGAGTAGTAGGCACTAGGAAAATAGTATCTACATATATGTGTGTGTATATATATGTTTACCATGCTTGACAATTTGCTACCAAAATACACACTCCATTACCAAAATCATGAAAGTAACATATAAATCAAGAGACATATTACGTTACCCATGAGAAGAAAGTATCTACATACATATATATATATATACACACACACATAATTTATGTGATTAATTGTGAAAATAAATGGATAGAATCCAAAATTTATGAGGAATTCATTTACAACGAGAGCTCTACGTAACATAATGAAAATTGAGAACATACGAAATTCTATTTGAAAATGAAACAATCTAGTTCAAATTCTATCAAGACCGTGTGCATTCAATTTACAAATCCTCTAGTTAAACCGGTTATCAATTCACAAATGACCTTCGCATCATTTGTTAATTTATTCTAAACGTAGCTTAAAAAAACGTTAACATTTCTCAATTTATGTTTTATTTTAAAAATTATTAATGTTTCATAAACCCCGTGACGTTCAACATTTTAACTTTTGATAATTGTCTACAGGTAACTCGTGATGTACATTTTCGTAACGATACGGGTTTGGATAGCTCAGACAATGTAGAAATCGCGATGGCTCTAGAAGAAGAGATCAAGCTTGAAATTCCATGCAAAGAAGCTAATAAGATTGATTCATGTTCTCTTGCTATTGAGTATATATATACAACCATCTAATGGTTGGCTAAAATTTGAGATGAAATTTTTTTTGCTTAATCTCGAATTTTATGGAGATGAATAAACCCGTATTTTGGTTAATTTGTTGGTCGTTTTTGTGCATTTACATCGGACCCGTGAAATATAAAAAATAATTTGAATATATAGAGAGAGATAATTTTAAAATTTTGATAGCTTTTAAGCAGTTTGAATATCAGAAAATTTGACGAATTGTTCTATTATTAGATTTCTTTTACTATTATTATTTTTAAAAAATTTTTAAATAAAATTAAAAATATTATTGAATTGAAATACGAAAACTATAATCGTAAGGAGGATATACTATATTCTAAAAAAAATACAAAAACTAAACAATGGTATTTTAAAGAAAATTTATGTAACATTGTATTTTAATATTATATGTAATATTAAATGTTATAGTAATAATGTATAAAAGTAATATAATATGAGATATATAATGGGTAAAACCCTCATATATATATATATACATTTTACTTTATTAATTATATTTTACTAATTATGAAATGTAACATTTTTTATAAAAAAAAAAGAAAAGAAAAAGATAATTTATTGACAGCCATGGTTGATAAAATAATACTCTGAAAAAAAAAATTTATTTTTTAAGCATATTTATAATCGAAAGAGATATAGCAGACAGCTGAAACGTTTCGTTGTTTCTTCCGGTGAGCGGCGAAACGACACCTGGCGTTTCTTTGAAGCCATCTTCGCAAGTCGTCGAGGCGTCCATCACTGAACTCAATTTAACGTTCGCATCGTCGTAGTGTTTACTTCTGTAATCTCTCCTGACTTCTTTCAGAGTAGGGATTGAATCGGCATAAAGTTCAAAGCAATCTTCCAGACACGCCTTCACGAAAGGATCCAAGTCCTTCTTCTTGTTCTTCTTCTTCAACAGCCCCTTGATATACGACGCCGTCCTTGTCACGTTATGCTGGTCTAATTTAATGGCGATTTGGCCGAGTTTCTGGAGATTTTTCGCGCGGTGGCTACTTGAGTACGATTCGAATGACGTAACGCAGAATTCGTAATTGATGTTTGGATCGGTCGACGAGCAATTTTTACAGG